TGTACGTTCGGCAGCGACTCAGCTGTACCCTGGCATTTGCCCACGAAGACAATAATCTATACATTAATACGTGAAGCAAAAACTTAGTGTCCCTTTTTACGAAAATCGCGCGGACGGAGGAGTATGAAATTTTCCACACTTATAGAGAATATAGAGAAGAAGTACACAATGCTAATATTTTTTTAAGATAATGCATAAAAGATACATTAAATCAATAAAGAAAACATTACACACACTACACTGGTGGTAGGACCTCTTGGGAGTCCGCACGGGTAGGTACCACCACCCCACCTATTTCCGCCGTGAAGCAGTAATGCGTTTCGGTTCGAAGGGTGGGGTAGCCGTTGTAACTATACTGAGACCTTAAAACTTATATCTCAAGGTGGGTGGCGCATTTACATGGTAGGTGTCTATGGGCTCCAGTAACCACTTAACACCAGGTGGGCTGTGAGCTCGTCCACCCATCAAAGCAATAAAAAAAAAATACATACATGCATACTATTTATTGTCAAATTTTGTTCTTGACGTCTGTGGTCAAATTGTGAATAGATTAAATATTGTTTGTCTTTATTAATATTTTTTATATATTATATTTTTTATATATAGCCTTGACGAAATTTGTGATTATAGAAGTATAAAATACAATCATAATAGTGTACAAACTTACAATTCCAATTAATTATAGTCGAATTTCGACTACTGCGGGACCTCTAGTCCTAGTAAAAGCGTCAAGGAATTTTTATATGCGGTAAGCAAAAATTCCGAAGCAACCTTCAAAAGTACGAAGTCCGCGAATGAATGAGAAACGAAACTGGTTGGCCTATCAGCTGATGTCTCGGCGCGTTGGTATGCATAAATAAATAGCTCCTTGGTATATATTTTTTTTATATTTCTTACCTCACCGAGAGACGACGTTGATTATCCTCAGATAAGTTCGTACGTAAAAACCTTATTCTTCTAGATTAAATTCACTAAGTACTGTAAAACCTTTAAAACTCTTTAGTTTTAAAAAAGCTTTTTTACTGGTGGTAGGTCCTCTTGTGAGTCCGCACGGGTAGGTACCGCCTTGTCTATTTCTGCCGTGAAGCAGTATTGCGTTTCGGTTTGAAGGACGAGGCAGCCGTTGTAACTATACTGAGACCTTAGAACTCATCTCAAGGGGGGTGACGGCATTTACGTTGTAGATGTCTATGGGCTCCAGTAACCACTTACACCAGGTAATAAAAAAAAAGGCTTTTTCTTACACGGATTCACTTACCTGTCTGTCATTCAATGAACTATTCTCGTTCAGTTTTTCTTATTATTGTAATACTTTTTAAAATGTTACTTTAAAAAGGAGATTATAAGCTTTAAAATGTTGTTTTCTTAGTTTTATTACAGAAAACGAGATTAAGTCTTTTATTCCTTATTCATTCTAGAATATTCCATATCATTATATACGTTTGGAAACGTTTTGTGTTTTTGTAGTTCTATCTATTCAATTGTTTATATTCATCTATTGGTGAGGTGTTTTTTTTTTGGTATTCCACTATGATCGCGGATGTAGTAATAATGCATTTGTTTTTTGTGAGTCTGCACGGGCAGGTAACACCACCCTGCCTATTTCTGCCGTGAAGCAATAATGCGTTTCGGTTTGAAGGGTGGTGTAGTCGTTGTAACTATACTGAGACCGTAGGACTCATCTCAAGGTGGGTGGCGGCATTTACGTTGTAGATGTCTATGGGCTCCGGTAATCACTTAACACCAGGTAGGCTGTGAGCTCGTCCACACATCCGCTGTTGTTTCTTATGGATAATTAAAAACAATAGTAGCATTCTGCACTCCTTCTCTATATTCTCTATAAGCGTGGGAAAGTTCATACCCCTCAATTTTCGTAAAAATGGGTACAAAGTTTTTGCTTCACGTATTAATATATAGATATAAAGCGTCTGTAGCGAATTCGAAATCAGACCCGACACTTGATTACGTAATTAATTTAATATTATGATTTAGAAAGAAAGAAATATTAGCTGGCCTGTATTTATTTATTCAAGGCGAAGTTTTCTCTTAATGTTCATCAGCTCGAAGACGACCCATTAACATAAAAACTTGCAAACCTATCAATTATATTCTTCATCATCAGCCTGCGGCAGTCCACTGCTGGACATAGGCCTCCCCCAAAGCTCGCCACTGAACCCGATCTTCGGTTCTACGCATCCAGTTACTGCCAGCTGCCTTGCGCAGGTCGTCGCTCCATCTAGCAGGAGGGATCAATTATATTATTTTAGCTTTATAACACTGACTGGGATAGCAGATATAAAAAAAAACATTTAATCTTTAGTTCTCTACGCTACTTTATCGTGTTTTTAGTAGTTTTTAAACTAGACTTATTGTTTTAATTTAATCTGGCATTGTTTTTATACTTTTACGACCTCATTATGTTTCTTTTTAAATTCTTTGTAAGATTCTTTGTAAGGTCTTTGTAAGATTTCAGTTGTTCAAATATCACTGGTGGTAGGACCTCTTGTGAGTCCGTGCGGGTAGGTACCACCGCCCTGCCTATTTCTGCCGTGAAGCAGTAATGCGTTTCGATTTGAAGGGTGGGGCAGCCATTGTAACTATACTGAGATCTTAGAACTTATATCTCAAGGTGGGTGGCGCATTTATGTTGTAGATGTCCATGGGCTCCAGTAACCACTTAACACCAGGTGGGCTGTGAGCTCGTCCACCCATCTAAGCAATAAAAATAAAAAAACATTAACGTAAAAAACTTGCCGAAAATCTTAGTGTAGGTATATTTATTATGTATTAATTCACGCTACAATAGATACTAATATAATCACTCCGGACACTTGTCTTTAATAACAGTAGTTATGGCGAAAACATTGCAAACATTACGAAGTGTCTACCGCTTATTGCTGATAAGAGCGACTAATATTTTTGATATTTATTTTATTCTATTGGCTGTTTTTTTTTTCCTGTTATATCGCCAAATTCACGTGCTATAAAAAATCTCAATTCTCTTATTGTATTATTTATGTTCTACATAAGACCACAGGCGCGGGCTGCAAATAAGCCGTTTGAATTATTCTGGTCATTTTGAGGGTTTTTATTTAATTATTTTTTTATTGCTTGGATGGTTGAACGAGCTCACAGCCCACCTGGTGTTAAGTGGTACTGGAGCCCATAGACGTCTACAACGTAAATGCGCCACCCACCTTGAGATATAAGTTCTAAGGTTTCAGTATAGTTACAACGGCTGCCCCAACCTTCAAACCGAAACTCATTAAGTACTGCTTCACGGCAGAAACAAGCAGATTGGTGTTACCTACCCGTGCGCGCGGACTCACAAGAGGTCTTACCACCAGTAAAATGTTGAAATGCACAAATAAAATCAATGTTAATTTATTTTTTTCATTGAATATTTTTTTGGAAATTGACATAGCACTTTTTGAAATTCTTTTGGCTTTGGGAATGGATAATCGTTGCTTAAGTTTTGCCTCTTGACAGATGGCTCACGGTCATGGTCGACTCAACAGTCTAATTACTTGGAGTAGACTGGTGTAGACGATTTGACCAATTGTGTTTTGTGCCCACCAGTTAAGGTAACGCATCACTGTATGTCGCTGTCAACAGTCCTTAAAGTCGTCGTGGCCTAAAGGATAAGATGTGCGGTGCATTCGTGTTGAGCGATGTATCGGTGTTCGAATCTCAGGCGGGTACCAATTTTTCTAATGAAATACGTACTCAACAAATGTTCACGATTGACTTCCACGGTGAAGGAATAACATCGTGTAATAAAAATCAAACCCGCAAAATTATAATTTGCGTAATTACTGGTGGTAGGACCTTTTGTGAGTCCACGCGGCTAGGTACCACCATCCCGCCTATTTCTGCGGTAATGCGTTTCGGATTGAAGGGGGGGCAGCCGTTGTAACTATTGTGAGACCTTAGAACTTATATCTCAAGGTGGGTGGCGCATTTACGTTGTAGATGTCTATGGGCTCCAGTAACCACTTAACACCAGGTGGGCTGTGAGCTCGTCCACCCATCTAAGCAATAAAAAAAAAACTTCGTTGGTTCACCAGTAAAGAAATACATTCTTAACTTCATATATCTATTAGATCAAAAATTGCATTTAGTAAGGCTTTATTTTTATCATTAGCTTTGTCTTCGTCTAGTTTTAAATAAGAATTGTTTTTACTTTGTAAGAAAATTTTTGAATTTATTCACACAACAATAAAAACTATATCATGCTAACCGAATCAAACGAGAAACTCACTGCTGTACCACGATATCTTTTGTCGGCAACAATCCGTCTACAAACCTGTATTTCATCTGGAATTATAATGAATCGTTTTTAGTTAGTTACAAAAATAGACCACACATCATACTTTTAAAAGCGTAATACACAGCAATAAGACACTCGTGGATGTGTCCACAAAAGTGAATATTCTTAGCTATACACATGAAGGTCCCTTAGTCCTTATCGCGATAGGCAGTGTTTCGGTAAGCTCTTTGTAAAATGATGTCTTCTGAGATAAGAAATGTTGTGTGCGTGCTTTATTCCGTATGATGCTACGTATGAAACTGGGTAGTTAAGGTTTGGTTTTGTATTTATTAGGTTAATATAGCGTGACACAAATTCTAAGTGAGAAAGGGATAACGACTAGTCCTTGAAGCGTATGTGCTAATTATTTATTAGGCCAGTCGCCAATCTGTGGAATTACTTTTATATTACACTTTACGGGTAGGTACCACCACCCCGCCTATTTCTGCCGTGAAGCTGTAATGCGTTTCGGTTTGAAGGGTGAGGCAGCCGTTGTAACAATTCTGAGATCTTAGAACTTATGCCCCAAGGTGGGTGGCGGATTTACGTTGTAGATGTCTATGGGATCCAGTAACCATTAACACCGGGTGGACTGTGAGCTCGTCCACCCATCTAAGCAATAAAAAAAAATATCGTCATTAAAATTTAATGTCACATTTGTCTATAGCTTCTGAATGTTCATTGTCAACAGAAAAAGCGGCTATGACAGCGAGACGAGCGAATATTCAGAGGACTCGACGGCGGCTTACGAGGATGTGCAGACTTCAACCAAAAGCACTGGGTCGAGGAAGAATATCAACAGGGGAAGGTGGAGTAAAGAGGAGGTAATGCTTAGAAATGTTCCAACGCAAAACTCAAATGTCCGTAAACGTCTTGTATCTAATAATAGAATGAAATGGCTTACGTTCTTGAACTTGAAATTCTTGCGTTAATGTTGGGGCTATGACCCAAATATAATTTGGAGGAATGATTTTTCGCGTTTTTGTTGCCCAACAGTCGTGGTGGTACTTCTTGGATACGGCGCGATTCGGTATTAGGCTTGGCTTTGGTTTTACCAAGCGGTTCATCAGTCCCTTGGAATCGATAACGGAACGCTAGGCTCTAGCAAATAGCATCACTTGGTCTGTTCAAATGTGGCCCAGTAAAGGAGATGAGAAGTTACAATAAATCTACAAAGCCTCATGGTTTTTAGAGTTTAAAGACGTCACAGGGTTAAAGCTTTCACATTCAGACACGAGATAAGATCCTCAATTGTAATGAATAACGGTTATCCCGTACTTAAAACTGCATCGAATGACTGCTTCAAATCAATCTATCTATCTATATGTATAAAAATGAATTGCTGTTCGTTAGTCTCGCTAAAACTCGAGAACGGCTGGACCGATTTGGCTAATTTTGGTCCTGAATTATTTGTGGAAGTCCAGAGAAGGTTTTAAAAGGTAGATAAATTTGAAAATGCTCGGAATTAAATAAAAATAACAATTTTGTTTTTCCTTTGATGTCTTCCCCGTCGGACGGATTCCTTTTGTTTGTTGTAAGTTTATTCTATATAAAAGTTTAGATCTTTTATTTATCGATTGAGACACTAAGAAGCTTCCCGGGTCGGCTAGTACCTACCCTTATAAATTACTTACACAATCTTATAAATGCTTGTTCATTTGAAATCATATGTTTATGCAAAACAATAACCTTTGCAGTCTGAAAACGGCTAATTTGAATTCCGAAAAACGAGTTTTACATAATACATCTCTGCACATAGGCTAGTTTGTTGTAATTTTTTTTCAAATGTAATGAGAGTCATTGAAACCAACATTTTCCACGTGCATTATCGCGTATTGAATAACCGGTTATGAAGTACAATGAAGGAACTACCTTACATAATTCCAGTCCAGTAAGAATTCGCAATCGCTGCGGACTAATTTTGTGTCGTAATTTTACAAAGGAATTCATCTCATGGGTTTTCTTTTATTGTTGACGAAAAAGTCTAGTTTCCGAACGTAAGTGGTAACTTCTGTCCAGTCACTGGGGAAATTGAGGGTCATAGATCGTTTGATGAGCTCACGATCCATCCGATGTGAAGGATCGAGCTTATGGGCACCATAGTACAATGTACACCCATGTTAACATGTTCTTCAAACTGGAACACATGATTGGTTTGCGGTAGAAATTGGCATAAGATAGGCGCAACTCAGCATAGTAACTAGGGAGCTCAGGTGTTAAGTCGGTAGTGTGGATTAAACAGACACAGCCCACTGAGTTTCTCGCCTGATCTTCTCAGTGGGTCGCGTTTCCGAACCGGTGCTAGATTCTGCGAAGCACAGTTCTTGTTAGGGTTCGTGTTAGCAACATCGTCAGGTTTGAGCCCCGTGAGCTCACCTACTAGTTAAGGTTGCGCTGAAATGGTCTTTCAAGACCTTCAGCTTAGCTAGGATAAAAAAAAAGTAGTGTCGATACAGACCTGAACTTAAGAATCTTGCTTTCTTTTTCAGGACAAGAAACTAAAAGCATATGTTAGGACTTACAAAGAGAATTGGGAGCGCATAGCGGCCGAGTTTCCTGACCGTTCCGACGTTCAGTGCCTTCAAAGATGGACGAAAGTCGTCAACCCTGAACTAGTCAAAGGCCCTTGGACCAAAGAGGTAAGTGTCAAGTTGTTTTGGCTTTTTTCGAAACTGCTATTAGGTATTATGGTATTGCCCACTGAGTTTCCCGCCGGATCTTCTCAGTGGGTCGCGATTCCGATCCGGTGGTAGATTCTTCGAAGTACTGCTCTTGTTATGCCTAGTGTTAGCAAATTCTCTCAGGTTGAGCCCGTGAGCTAGCTACTAGCGAATAGTTAGGGAACATATTATGGTTATATTAAACAATAATATAATAGTCTAGTCAACAAGTTCAAAAACGTGTTAAATAGACATAAAGCTCCTAAAAATATGTACGATAGCTCATTGGATGCGGAATGATGTCTACAAAAATGTTTTTTAAGGGCTTATTAGCACATAAAAAATTGCGATTGTTATAAACAAAATAAGATTTAAAAAAAAAGGAATTTGGTTTTTCCTTAATTATTTCTANATCCACAACGTAAATGCGCCACCCACCTTGAGATATAAGTTCTAAGGTCTCAGTATAGTTACAACGGCTGCCCCACCCTTCAAACCGAAACGCATTACTGCTTCACGGCAGAAATAGGCAGGGCGGTGGTACCCACCCGCGCGGACTCACAAGAGGTCCTACCACCAGTAATTACGCAAATTATAATTTTGCGGGTTTCATTTTTATTCCACGATGTCAATCTATCTATCTATCTATCTATCTATATGTATAAAAATGAATTGCTGTTCGTTAGTCTCGCTAAAACTCGAGAACGGCCGGACCGATTTGGCTAATTTTGGTCCTGAATTATTTGTGGAAGTCCAGAGAAGGTTTAAAAGATAGATAAATATGAAAATGCTCGGAATTAAATAAAAATAACAATTTTGTTTTTCCTTTGATGCGTCCCCCGTCGGACGGATTCCTTTTGTTTGTTGTAAGTTTATTCTATATAAAAGTTTAGATCTTTTATTTATCGATTGAGACACTAAGAAGCTTGCCGGGTCGGCTAGTACCTACCCTTATAAATTACTTACACAATCTTATAAATGCTTGTTCATTTGACATCATATGTTTATGCAAAATAATAACCTCTGCAGTCTGAAAACGGCTAATTTGAATTCCGAAAAACGAGTTTTACATAATACATCTCTGGACATAGGCTACTTTGTCGTAATTTTTTTGAAATGTAATGAGAGTCATTTAAACCAACATTTTCCACGAGCATTATCGCGTATTGAATAACCGGTTATGAAGTACAATGAAGGAACTACCTTACATAATTCCAGTCCAGTAAGAATTCTCAATCGCTGCGGACTAATTTTGTGTCGTAATTTTACAAAGGAATTCATCTCATGGGTTTTCTTTTATTGTTGACGAAGAAGACCGGCTTCCGAACAGAAGTGGTAACCGCTGTCCAGTCACTGGGGAAATCGAGGGTCATAGATCGTTTGATGAGCTCACGATCCATCCGATGTCAAGGATCGAGCTTATGGGCACCATAGTACAATGTACACCCATGTTAACATGCTCTTCAAACTAGAAGACATGATTGGTTTGCGGTAGAAATTGGCATAAGATAGGCGCAACTCAGCATAGTAACTAGGGAGCTCAGATGTTAAGTCGGTAGTGTGGATTAAACAGACACAGTCCACTGAGTTTCTCGCCTGATCTTCTCAGTGGGTCGCGATTCCAAACCAGTGGTAGATTCTGCGAAGCATAGTTCTTGCTAGGGTTCGTGTTAGCAACTTCGTCAGGTTTGAGCCTCGTGAGCTCACCTACTAGTTAAGGTTACGCTGAAATGGTCTCTCAAGACCATCAGCTTAGGTAGGATAAAAAAGTAGTGTGGATACAGACCTGAACTTAAGAATCTTGCTTTCTTTTTCAGGACAAGAAACTAAAAGCATATGTTAGGACTTACAAAGAGAATTGGGAGCGCATAGCGGCCGAGTTTCCTGACCGTTCTGACGTTCAGTGCCTTCAAAGATGGACAAAAGTCGTCAACCCTGAACTAGTCAAAGGCCCTTGGACCAAAGAGGTAAGTGTCAAGTTGTTTTGGCTTTTGTCGAAACTGCTATTAGATATTATGGTATAGCCCACTGAGTTTCTCGCCGGATCTTCTCAGTGGGTCGCGATTTCGATCCGGTGGTAGATTCTTCGAAGCATTGCTCTTGTTAGGGCTAGTGTTAGCAAATTCTCTCAGATTGAGCCCGTGAGCTCACCTATCCGTTCGGATGTAGTTGAAGTAGCCTTTTACCAGCGAATACGTAGGGAAAATATTACGGTTATATTAAACAATTAGCGACCCGCCCTCGCTTCGTTTCGGAAACTGTAATTTATTATTGATTTCTCCACTAATTAATTGATGTTATTATACATGTAAACCTTCCTCTTCAATCACTCTATCTATTAAAAAAAACCGCATCAAAATCCGTTGCGTAGTTTTAAAGATTTAAGCATACATAGGGATATAGGGACAGAGAAAGCGACTTTGTTTTACAAGACCACTATTGAAAGAAGAGGAACAGGGTTGGACTTCTAACAGGACTCATTTAAATCGATTATCTAAAATTAATTGATAAATAGAGATTTATTACAACAAAAGAAATAGTTTAAATGGCGTTTTCAGAAGTTAGCTTAACTACGACATCGATTTTCTGGTACATGTTTGTGGGAGTGATGTTTTCTTGAACGCATGACATGATGGATGCAAGTCGATATCTGTGAACGCAGCGATATATAGAGAAAGGAAGGGGATGACGTGTTAGATGACAGATGAACGACGACGAACGAGGCACGAAGAACACGAAAGGATTAACGATTATTATCTATATATTAATACGTGAAGCAAAAACTTTGTATCCCTTTTTACGAAAATTGCGCGGACGGAGGAGTATGAAATTTTCCACACTTGTAGAGAATATAGAGAAGAAGTGCACAATGCTAATATTTTTTTAAAATAATGCATAAAAGATACATTAAATCAATAAAGAAAACATTACACACACTACATACCATGTCTTTGACGCACACACGCATGCATACTATTTATTGTCAAACTTTTGTTCTTGACGTCTGTTGTCAAATTGAGAATAGATTAAAAATTGTTTGTCTATGTTAATATTTTTTATAGTGTAGTCTTGGCGAAATTTGTGATTATAGAAGTATAAAATACAATCATAATGGCGTACAAACTTACAGTTCCAATTAATTATAGTCGAATTTCGACTACTGCGGGACCTCTAGTTTTAATTAATAGTATTTTAATAAAACGTGAAAGTAAACGCGAAACTTTTATTTGTCTGAAGCCTGCATCCCACATGCTACTATATTAATTAAAGCAGATTGAAAAGTAAAAGTAAAACGTTAAGATAAAAAGTATTTGTTTTATTATATCCGGCTATTATATTTATTACATTAGTTCCGGTGACAACAACAAAATAGTAGTTCGTTCGATCCCTAAAAACCCGGTAAAACATTCCATACGTCGGAAACAATAAAATTAAAATAATGAAACACGAGATTGATAAAAGTAAAAAGTAGTTTTATGTTAAGTCTGCGATTATTTTGAAAACCAAATAAAATACCACACGAAAAAAGAATAAATAATTGTTAAAAAAAAAAAAACTAAAAAACACGCTTTATATAAAATTTAACTGAAAATAGAAAATAAATTTTAATAAATTTAAATTGAAAATAGTGAATTTAAATTTTCTATAAAAGCGTTTTAAAAGTAAAACTATTAAGTACTTTCACATCAATTCCTGCCTTATTGAATATAGATAAAAATTATATAAATTGGCAAAAATCTGATTTTGCAAATTGAATAATAGAATAATCTTATCAAATTAGTGTACTGTCATCGGTCCTCGATAAATCTACAAAGTTTGAATGAAATCTGGCCGTTTAAAGTGGGTCAAAATCGCGTCAAAAGGAGTCAGTTACAAACATACATACATACATACAAGTGAAGCTAATTAATATAAAGCGTGTAAAAAAAAACGGCGTTCCACAACTAGAAGATAAATAATGACGAACACGTTCTCACTTCTGAATTCTTGAATGGGCAACGTTTATTTACAACTAGCGACCCGCCCTGGCTTCGCTTCGGAAACATTAAATTTTATTATTGAATAGTTGAGTCCCGCGATGTTAACCGCGGTTATTGCCGTATAGCGGGTGACGCCGCGGGGTGAAGCTAAGTAAAGTAGCCTAAGTTACTCCTTACATCATCAGCTACCTGTCAGTGAAAGTCTCGTCAAAATTGGTCCAGTCGTTCCAGACATTAGCCGGAACAAACAAACAGACAAACAAAAATTGTAACAAATGTTATTTTGGTGTGTGTACCGTATATGTAAATTCATATGCATGCAGTAAAAAGCGGTTATTTCAATATTACAAACAGACACTCCAATTTTATTTATATGTATAGATACATACGTTGCATTAATTGCGCGGATGTGTGGTGCGTGCAAGCGTGCAAGCGATACTCTATGAATCATTCGATACGTTTCATTGATGGAGACCTTTTGGAATTTGAAAGGGGCGACTTCAATCATAACTCGTACAACTCAATCGGTGTTTAAGGGGTTATCGGAGCCCTTAGACTAGAAATATCGCCACACACCATGAGATGGAATTGGTTTTTTTTTAATGCTGTGATCACGTAGTGCGTTCAGAATATTATTTATTTATTTATTTATTTGGGAAACAAACAGTACAATACAAACATATAATATTTAAAAAAAATTTAGCTAATACAATAACCAAATATGTTTCCACAATCAATATCACATATATGTAGAAAGTGAACTGATAAGAGAAATTTAGAAATTTAAGTTTCAAAAAAACAAAAACAAAACAATAGCCACATATTATTTTATGATGAAAAAAAATACCAGTTTAATATCGTTACGGAAATTAGTGAATTCGTTTTGGTCCCCGTATTTACTTAGATTTGCATCTTCCAGAGTTTGTAACTTACTTGCGACCTTATTATATCTCAAGGTGGGTGGCGCATTTACGTCTATGAGCTCCAGTAACCACTTAA